GGATACAACACGGGCCGGGATGCCTTTGTTAAAAAAGCCTCTCGCCTTGCTGGCCTGTATCCTCTAACACAGGGGTGGGTAACCTCTGGCCTCATACAGCCAACAGACAAAAAAATTATCTCATTATTGCAATTAATCTTTCAGCAAATATAAAACAGTAAACCAACATGCCTTTCAGGGAGATCCCTTCTGGCTGTATGCCTGTTAGTTCAAGGTCAGGGTGAACGAATCAGACTTTGCAGTTACGTGTCATGGCTGACAAGAATCAAGAAAATGAAAGCAGATGTGGAATGTTGAGAGAAATGGAAAAGTAAGTGTTTTTGTTGAAGTAAAAGGCCAGACAGTGTTTGTGGTTTGCAGAGACGGACTCGTGGTGTTGAAAACAGACAATCTCCAGCATCATTACAGCTGGAAAAATGCAGCTGAAGTTGCTGAGACAACTTTGCCAGGATAAAGTAAACGCTCTAGCGCAGAGTTTTTGGTCCCCAACAAGCAGCTTTCACAGTTTTCTGGCAGATACGATTTTTATGCCTCAGTGCTGACGACAGCCAGTGGCCTGAAGAATTATGTGTTCCGCTGTCCGTCGGTTCTATGCTCTTGAATACATTATCTCAGGAATGCCTCAAGGGAATTTCTTCAAATTTGGGACAAACACTCACTTGGACTCAAGGGTGACCTGATTTGAATTTGGTGGTTAAAAGTCAAAGGTCAAGACATAACAAACACAACCCAACTTGCCATTTCCATGCGTTGGATTAGTGCAGAGTTTGGTACAAGGGACAAATTGTTTTCTCTCCCTAAGGTTAGGGACTGTTTGAGCTACTAATTTTGGCTAAAACAGCGAAAACAAGCATCTCTCAGTGATATATGTGTTCAATAATTTCATTTTTTGGCCTGCGAATAAAAATATTAAATATTAAAAATGAAATGGTTCCCTAACAGCTCGTATCCACCAGTTCTCTTCAACCCAGAAAACTTTTGGCTACATTGAATCATACAGTTATTAACAATTGAAAAGCAGTTGCCTCCTCTGAAGCAGCTTTTCATTCACCATTTAAACAATTGTTGCGTTAACTTTTTGTGAGTTAGTGCATCTCACCTCATGCTTCAAGTTGCCATTGACCTTTTCACTGTTAAACCAACACCACAACATTATTAATAATAGTCTTAACTTGCCTGAAGTTCATCATGAATTATTAATCCCACTTGAGGGAGTGGATTTTATCAGGAAAACAAAAGAAATGCAATGACGGTGAAAGCTGTATTTGTACGGGGAGACGTTGCATTTGTAGTGATTACTTTGCAGCAGTTTCCTTGTTTTATTGATAGAATATTATATATTTTTTTATTGATAGAATATATTAATAAATAAGGCATCAGTGTGTTCCAAAATGCACAATTTCACTTGAACTGTAGTCAAGGTTTAAGGATGTCAGGCCTCCTTATTCATATATCACAGTACGAGAATATAATCTAAGAGTATAAATATGATATTGCACTTGGATAGCAAGATGCTTACTTGTGCCAATTTGGCTTCTCTTTGTGCAAGAAAGTTGTAAAAAAAAATCTCTTTTCAATATTTTTGACCTGAGAGTCTTTGAGCTTTTGTGCGCATTGGCATTGAAGAGCGAGATTCCCTAGAATTCATCACGGGGATAAATTGCAAAATCTGGCACACACTGATGTACAGCCCCAAGTCAGGAAAGTTTCTCGTCTTCAGGATGAAAGCATGTGAGAAAGGTTCTGATCCACCTGATTAAGTGAATTCAACGCATGTGAATGAAACGAGAGGAGAGTACTGACGCAGCGACTTTCGGTAGATGCAGCCATCAATAGCATTTTCCATCCTCAGTTCTTGCAGTTTGTCACTTGAGAGTGTTTTGTTCTAAAGTGCACGCTCAGTTCTTTGCCAGACTCAAAAAGAAACAGCTAAAATTGTCCCCTTTAATGCGCAGTTGATGCATGGTAAATGCATGATGAGATAAGACTAATAATAGGATGACTACAATAGTTACCACAGCGCCTTTGTGTCCTCCCTTCCCCTCTGTAAAACCAGTGCCAAGTCTGTTGTTTGCCAGAAAAGGAGTTTAATCTCCTCGTTTGTTGTAGATATATAAAAGAAAGGTGAGGCAAAGTAGCAGCACATAAAAACAAAGCACTCAAACCATGTAATTTCAAACAGTGATTCATATCCTAATATGTGCTTTGTATTCTTGTTAGTCTGTCGTGATGGGAAACATATTGCTTTTATTTATTTGCCAGGCTCCTCTATCAGCCGATGGTGAAAAAATAAAGAATCTATGTAATCCTAAATTGTGTGAAGTTAGACGCCGGTGTGGCTTGAAATGCACCCAAATGATTGGGCCGCATTGATCCCTTCGCCCCAGGAGCGTGAGGTGAGCAGGAAGTAGCCTGAGCCGTGCCTCCAGAAACTGCAGTCACTGATAGTGTCCATAGATCGAGGAGCTGCGACTATTTTTTAATTAGAGACTTCAGAGCAAACCCAGTTGGATTAGCTGGTGCATGGCTCTAGGCCGGCTATTAACACCGAGTCAGTCAGACGAACAAGAAATCTGAAAAACGAGAGGATTGGAGGGGCAGGGAGGGGCTGAACACGACCCTGAGGTGAATGTTCTCAGACCCGGGTCAATATACGCCTTTTAGTTTATGAGAAAATGACTGATAATTTGGTATATCTGGTTTTCCCCTCACAGGAGTTAAACATTTAAAGAGGCATGTGGTTTTGCAGTATCTTAAACTGTAGTTGTAAATAATATTGTTTACTCCCAGAGGAGAATTCTCAATCAGGGCTGCTCAGATAATACTTTCCTGTTAGTGATAAGCGTCTCTACTCATGTAGGCCTCTGTGGCAACTCCGTTAAAACAAACATTACAATAAAAAGAACAGAAAACTTAAGAATGCTCTTTGAAATATGTACAGTATACACACAATCTATATTCATGAATATCTATATGTATGAGGTTGCGTGCATGCTAATACTCACTTGTGTTGAAACCCCCATGGGGAGACATTCATTTGGTTTATGTTTACCTTTGAGGAACAGATGCCCTCCTTCACACTATCCGACTATTAAACCCTAAAGATTCACACCTACACAGATGCTTATACATGTAACACGCACACAAACACACATGGGCTGATGTACATGCTCCCAAACCCACTCTACCGCTCAACCTCGAGGGAGACATGTGAAATAAATTCGACACTTCCGCTTACCCAAGAAGCGCCTTAAGGACAAAGAGAAATTTAATCTTGGATAAGCCTCCCGATAGAATCTCTGCATTAGCCTTCTGATGCTGGTTCACAGCCATCCCATCAACCCTTACCTCCCACACCTTGGCCTGATTCCCTCACATCTCTCCTCCTCTACACTGCTTTTTTTTATCTCCTCCTCTCTCCTCCTTTACCTCTCTCCAACTTTCTCCCTACTTCTTTTCACTTTCCTTCCTCGTCTTTCTACAGTATTTCCTTCCTTTCTCCACCTCACTATTACTCTTCCCCCTTTTGTCCCTCCATCAAGTCTTGCTTACCCCCACCAGCGCTTCTTCCTGCCAACATCTATCTGTCCATCTATCCCCGGTTGCAGTGCATACTGTATATATCTATATTTCTGTTCCCCTCTCTTGTCGGGGTGCTTTAATACCATTGGTATTAAATGCTGGCACGACCTCCTCGGCATACTTAAGCAGGCAGGGATCCTTGTAAGGCTGTTTGAGTGCTTAATATTTTCAGCACGCCGCTGACTTAAGCCCCTTAAGTGCTTTGGCAACACTTATTCCACGGTGGCACCAATGAAGCCCATTAAAAATTTGATTTGGACGAGAGAGGGAGAGGGAGAGAAAAAAAAGAGGATGGGGGGATAGGGGACACAATTTACCATTACCTCTCTTTCTTCCGCACACACTGCGACAAAAACAAATACACCCATCGGGGTTTGCCCACACGGGGACTTTGCAAACTCAGAGAAACACACACTGTAGGATGTCGTGCGGTGAATTGCAATGTTTTCTTTTTGTCTGTAATTACGTCCTTTTTTTTTCTCCATGAAGCACTTTGTGATGACCCTATTTTGTTAAAAGCGGTTCATAAATAAATTTGATTTTATTTGACTTGATAATAGGGAACAGCGTGTTTCAAATTGAATGCGTAAAGATGTTTGTAAATACACCCTGTGGCAGATTAGAGCTGATACTTTACGATCAGTTAATTAAGGACAAGTAGAGGTGCTATTATAATGTCGAAACTCTGTTGCCTTTCACGTTTTACAGGACAATGAAAGTCACAGACAAGGAGTCGAGTGTAGTTAGCGCCAACCATTGGTTTTGTTTTGCCAGTTTTATTGCCAATAACATTAATGATACATGTTGCAGTGAGCGTGAACAAAGGAGCTGCATTATTCATGTGTTGATGGTAAATACGCTGACAGGTCGGACTCTCTGTTAGCAGTGATACTGTATAAAAATATTGAGCAGATGCCTCCTTCCTGAGCCAGGTTCACATCAGCATAACTCACAGTCACATTTATTTCTGCTTTATCTGCATCCGCTTCGGATTACAAATGCCACACACAAACATGTGCACAGAGCTTGTCAGCAGACAGCCGCGCACATCCCTGCAGCCTTAAAAATGTCCATTTAACATAAAGAGACACTATGATGCCTGTGTGTGCGCCTGCATGGATAAAGCAATGGCTCGTAGATAGTGAAAGGGCCAAACAGACAGACAAATGTACACCCTGCTTCGGTCAACACTGGACAGTCGAGCACATTCACACACACACGCTGCCACTGTTTGTTGACCTGAAAGGCGACCATTGTCAATGCTTCCATCCACACACACACACATCTGTAACCTTCACAAAATAGTATGCAAAATATGCAGACACTGATCCCACACTGACACACACACAGTCTAAGCGAGGGGAGGGAGGCCAGGGTTATATAAATGGAAGACAGAAAGCAGATAGACAGATGGATGTAATCAACAGTGATACCACATTGGGATTATAGCAATTTTCATAGATCAACAGGAAAGACGTGAAGCAAGAGGACGACAAATTTGTGGGAACTAACTAGCTGCTGTGGATTGACTGGAGGATTGAAAGAGGATGAGAGAGACAAAGAAGGCAGAGCGGATAAACTAAACACAATTTGAGGAGATCAGTTGGAACGTGTAAAAAAAAAAAAGACACTTTGTTTTCCGTCCGTCTGCTGCCAGGCCCCAGACCTGCCAGACCTGAGCTGCTGGTGCACACCAACACAGAGTAATTTTCTCAGCGTCAGCCAGTTGACGGGTGAAGTCAGAGCCGTGGGGAAGATTGGGCTTGATCTGCTTTCGGCTTTGCCAGAAGTGTCAGGTCCGTCGCCGCTGGAGCTCATTGTTTCTGCAGAGGCACGGAGAGTGAGAGCGCGGGCAGTGTGTAGTAATCTAAGGATGACACCCACACTTTATTCCATCAGATAGCGTTCAGTGAGGTGTGGCGCGTCACACTTAATCTCGGCGTTACAGAGCACACATATAACACGTGTACTCGCACACACAAACACACTGGAGATTTAACTCTAAGAGGCGGATGACGCATTAGGTCCCGACAATCAGCGGAACCTTAAAGGTAGCAGGCTCTTGGATCAGTGTGTATCGCTGAGTGTGTGTCGGGAGTGCAACCAGGCGCTGACTGTGCCCAGTGGAGCATGTTGGAAAGGAAGCGTTAGGCAGGTTGATGCCGCACGATTATTCCGTCTGATAGCCTGTGATTATTCTGAGAAGTCTAAAATTACCATGTAAAATCACTGTCCACTTACGCTGCAGTGTATACATGATAGCATATCGGAAGAGTTCTGGCATTCAAGCGAATAATGGTGGATACCTTGTGAGGATAGTGTTCACGTCTCTGGGGTAAAATAGCCGAGCAAAAAGTGTAATATCACAAAACTGAAGCGCATCGCTGCAGCGTGCTCAAAGCTTTTCACGTTGGTTACACTACACAGAGCAAGCGCTTCCACTCTGTGTCTCTATAGAGCGGCACTTAGGCTCAATGGATTTTATTTAACCTCAGCTATCTGCAGATGAGTTGCAGTGAGATGGTGTCTCTGTCTCTCCTGAGGCCTGCCCTGTTTGGTCATAGCTCAAAGGCACATTGACTTCCACCTGCCTGTGAGTCGATGTGAGAAGTGCTGGAAACCTCGCTTGGTCTCATTAAAATACAATCTGTTGAAGATGAACATCGTTGCCCTAGATTCCTCCTTCCTCAAGGGCACGGCAATGTAGGTAGCTGGATTTCAAAAGTTAGCATTTCAGTCAACATCAGTAGATTTAAACTTGCCTTACTTGATAAGTCTGTTTCCCAGCCTTTCTGAAGGAAATATAGTTTAATTGATCGCTCCTGTTCCTTTGAGCAGTGTGGTTTGACCTGCAGGAGACAAGCAGTCTATATGTTGTGGTTAGTTTGTGAGGATGACTGGAGCTGGGAGCTGGTTTAAACACTGTGGGTGATCAGCTAATTAACTTGTCCCTCATTTGGTTGATTTCATGGCCACCATAATTGAAAACCCTCGCTGTTAAAGAACATGGAATTGCAGGTATGCTTTGGTTAAACTTGGTATTGGTTTTTCTGGTTTATTGATCCTGAGGTCTCTGGCTTTGTTCCTCTGAGGCTTACAGGGCTGAGGTAGAAAATATCTCGCCTTGCAGTGTTTGCCTCCCTGTCATTTTGCTTTGATGGGACTGAGCTCCCGCACTGCTTTGTAGCTGCAAAACTCCGGCGCCGTATAGATTTAAGACGCTGCACCGTGTCGTAAGTTCTTTCTAAACAAGGTGCCAAAGTCAAGTTTGTAACTTTCTGTCGCTCTGAGCTCATTTCTGGGTGCATTGTGATGTGGCGTCTAAATCAGCAGCTCGGTGAGCAATCCAGCGTGCAAGCCTTGGCTGAAGCAGTTTGTTTGCATGTGCTGTGATGCAATGCAGCACATAAGAGTCCTTTCATAAAGTGTCGTCCTCAAACAACAACTTCTGTCTGATTGCACTGAAGTAAAGCGCAGCGGTTAGCGCGCACACGTGCCTGCAGCTTTGCAAAAAAACTAATTGCAGAGTGTGTGTGGACTTGTTTATCTATAGCAGTGCAGGCAGGGTCACAGAGGAACCATTGATCAAGCGTGCACATCCACACACACGTTCACACATACACATAGAGCTTCTCAATACACAATGAAGCCTGTCCGAAGCTCTGACCCCCTCCCGGCTCCTTTCTCTCTGGCCCTGCGCTGCCTGGTCCTGATCCTGCTCTGTATCACTCGTAAGTCCTGCACACATGCACGCTCATACACATACATACAGAATAAATGAGACATAAAGACTAAATGAGGTGCATACTACTGGTCTACAGGAAAACTCACACGCAGATAATGGTCACATGCACACACTAATTTCAAATTGTATCCTTGGATGTGGCAATTTAGTGTTGTTCTTCTTTAAATTCCCTGCAGATTTGACCCCTAAACCCTGTAGTGTGATGCTTCTATTACAGGAAAAAAAGAGTCACAATTGTGAATGTGATACTAATTGATGTAACCTGATACAGGGAGAGATTCAATGCAGTGGCCAGTGAACGACAAAAGGACGAATCGAGAAATGAGAGCTTCAGATGAATTGCTCAAAATGCCGGTAATTATGTTAGAATGGGTAATTAAGATTAAGAATAGGGAGAATATGAACACTGGAGTGTATACCCACGAGGTGAAAAGACCGGGGAATGAGGAACCAAGCAGAGGAAGAGAAGAGACGGTCGGACCAAAGGACTTAAAGGGAAACAGTCTCGACTGGAAAGAGAAAGAAAGAAAAGATAGATAGAGGACTGGCTGAAGCCTTTTTTTTCCTCGGTTTTCTGAAGAGCCTAATAAAAAGTTGGACCCCAGAGTGGGAGAGATATAGTGAGTCGAATGGAGAGGATGTTGAATGAAAAGAGAATGTCTGGGGAGAGAGCAGAGTGAGAGACCAATATGCTGCATGTAGAGAGAGAGAGAGAAGGACTAAACCAGATAGGAACTAGTACTGAGAGAGTTAGGCAGCAGAAGAGGGGGAGACACAGCGAGACGGAGAACAACAACTCTGTGTGTGTGTGCATATCTGTGTGTGTGTGTGTGTGTGTGTGTTGTGTGTGTGCAAGAAAGGCAGACAGTTGCAGGAGAGCGGTACAAAGATTAAACGAGAGACAAGGCCTGGAAAAGAGCTGCACAAGGTCGAGATTTGAAAGACAGTCACCAGAGATGTTGAGAAAAAGTAGTGCATGAAGTGGAGCGGGATCACTGGCAGACTTGCTAGTTGCTATTAATACCTCCTGTCGTTATTATTATGTATCTAATGCAGGGAGATGCTATTTCCCTGCTGCTCATTGGTAAACAAGCGTAGTACCACTGCGCACAGTACCTTCTCCTCTGTGTCAGCCAAAATCTCAATTCAGTGGTGTTGTGTTATTCTCTGTTTTTCTTTTTTGCATATTAGATCAACAGAAGGACATTGTGTTTTGTCGGATGTTGTGGGGGGACTTGGGATGGGGGTGACATTAAGGGGAGTAGGGGATGCAGAGAACAAATGGGTTTGTGACTTGGCACAGTGTTGTCATGTAATTAATGCCAGTTGGGCAGTTTTGTGTTGCATGGGCCTTGAATGCACACACACACACACACACACACACACACACTCTCTTGTGCACGTTTAACACTATTTCACAAAAACACACACTTGATTTTAAATGCATGCATACACACATGTGTATTTCCTCACACTTTTGTCAGCGTCTCACACACTTGCTGCGTGCACAGCAGCAGATACACACCAAAGGGACGGCTGCCATATGGTGGATTTTGAAGGGGTTTTAAGACCAGTGCTTTTGGCTGTGGTGAATCTCTAGTGTGGTAGCCGTTGCGTAATAGCCCTGTAAATTTCCTTTAAGCCGCTGTTGGGTTGTGTGTGGTGGCCATTGTTGCAGGGTTGTTGAGGCTGTGACAGACCCAGGCCATAAAACGCTGCACAGTAGATAGAGCTAACCAGCTTTGGCTGTCAGAGAACAGGAAAAAAGAGAAAAAGAAGGAAAGAGCGAGGGAGATGGTGGCTGACGAAGGGTAAGAAGAGGTGAGTAAGAGAGCAGAAAGAGTAATAGGATGGGTGGACAAGAAAGAGGAAAGGAGAGCGCTCAGGGAGATGCAGTGCAGCACGGGGGGGAAAAAAGAGGGGATGGGGCAAGAGAGGGATAAGGTGATTGAAATACGCCGATGGGCTGGAGAGACATAAAAGATACGAAGGTCAAAATGAGCGATGCAAGAGAGCAGAGAGGAGGGGAGGGAAAGAATGGAGGAGGTGATGGGAGGAAGAAGACAACAGATTCTTATGCGGAGGATGGAGAAGGCATGACTGGGGTGCAAAGTCAGCGAGTTAAAAACAGGATGAGAAATATGTAAATAGACAAAAGTAAGTGTTTCTAATGAGAGGTTGAGAGTGAAAAGAAATGTTTTTTATGCTGATTTTGCTGATAAGCAGTGCTCACAGTACACAGCAGTGGGTGATGGAGGTTGGAAGTTCCTGCCAAAGAGAGAGAGATTGAGATGGACAGAAAGAGAGAGAGAGAGAGAAAGAGAGGGATAGAAAGTGGGCTGAACTATATGACAGGCAATTAAAAGAAGCGAAAGTAGAGGAGAAGATGAAAGAGGGACGAAAAAAAGGAGATTCTGAGTCCTCCACTCAGCTCGTTTGTTTTGTCCTCTTTTTCTCATTCGCCCCACTCACTTTTTTCCTTGTGTCTCCCTTGCTCCCTCTCTTCCACTCTGCCAGCGCTCTATAAAAACAGCGTGATTATGCCGCAGACTTGAGCTGCAGAACAAATCACATTTAGCGAAGGAGAGTGTGGAGATAGAAGTGGCTGAGAGGCAGGAAAAGATTCCCACTGAGTCACAAAAAAAGAGGAAGAATGAGAGTGAGATTGCAAGGGGAATGAAAGAGTATTGCGGCTTGGAAGGAAGCTGTTGCAAGGGAGGGGGGTAAGAAAGGAAAAGATGGAAGGACAGGAGTGAGGAGAGGGCAGCTAACAGGGGATAGAGACGGAGAGATGTAAGAGTTCTCCTGAGGCCTCTGAAAGAAGAGGAGAGGAGAAGGGATCTTTAGGACGTCTCTGATGAGGAAGATGCATGATGAACGATGCAATAAAAGATAAGAGCAAAAAGAGGGAGGAAAAAAAGGAGAGGGGACCGATGAAAGGAGGAGGCATCGAGGATAAGATCAGACGGAAGGTGGGGTGGAGAGGGATGGAGGGACTGTGGGTTTGAATAAGAAGAGTAAGAGGGAGATGGCGAGAATGAGATTACACCAAGGCTGCAGGAGAACAGAATCCTGAGTTGTGGACTTAGTGAAAACGAGAGAAAGAAAATGAGAGGGAAGGAGGAGAGGGAAGAAAAGGAGGACTGGAGAAAGTGACAGAACGAAGGTAATGAGAGAGACGAGAGCGAGATTTGTAAAGGATTATGTATTATTTATAGAGGGAGCAAATTTTTTTTTCTTTGCACTGGATTTGATTGGCAGTGTTCTGGCTCCCGGAGAGAGATGGAGTGATACTTTTTAGACAGGGAAGAAAAGAAAAAAAAAGGGAGTTGTGGGTCTGCACGGGGAGGTATAGAGGAGAACAACCTCAAAGTCGGGTATTTCATGGAGTCAGTAAAACTGCAAAAGTGTGATTAACCTGGAGCAAGACAGTGCACACACACGTGCACGCTCACACACACACAAACTTCATTTGCATACATAGCATGGAAACCGGCCCGTCTCACAGGCTCCGGAGGGGATAGTGGGAAAATTGTACACCCAGATGGGAGGAGATGGAGAAGTTGCCAGTGGATGACCCCAGAAGAGTGTGAGCTATATGAGCTCTTGTTATTGTTCCAATTAAAGCAGCAATAACATAAGGGCTTGTGCATTGTAGTCCCCAGCATCGATCCCCTTGTACAAACGTGGCCGGCGTGCAAAAGAAAACACAATCTCCTGGCCCGCGTCCAACTGAAAGATAATGAGAGATAATGAATCGGGGGACAGTGATGGTACGGCGTCAAGGATACATGGGGGCTTGTTTGGGGGCAAATGGAGACAGCTCATCTCTTATGTGACTCGTCTTTATCCCATCGCTTCCTCTCTACGCCCGGGGAGGGAGGAAGAGAGGCAGGCGCAGTGTGGCGGTAATTCAGCCCGCTAACCCTGCACCTCTGAGGCACTTTCTAGAATTTACCGTGACCAAGGGTGAGCCAGCGGTCCACCTGGCTGCCTCCCAAACCCAGCCTCTTTTAACTCCCTCCCTTCATTGCCTCTCGCCTCCCTCGATTATAAGTCATCCCCATTGTGGGACCATTAGGACGGGCCCCCTGAACAGCCTTGTCTTATGAATTTGCACGGCTATTATTAATTTATTTGTTTATGTATTTTGAAATGATGGCCCTGCTTGGATCTCTATTGGCACAGTAAATAAAGGCTTTTCTCGGGGCCTGACCGGGGGGGGGGGTCTCAAGAAGGAGCCACTAATTCACTGCTATGAAATACTGCCCCCGCTTGGTTGAAGAGGGAAGTGGTTGTTTTCGTTGCCCCCTCCTGTTTTATTTATGTTTTGATCATAACTGTCAGGGCACTGCCACGGTATCGATTGGTCTCAGCATTCTCTCTTAATATAATTCCGCGTTTGTGGAGTATTTTATTATGGGCCCAGATTTTAATGGGGCCCAGATTAATACCTCTGTCACAGGGGTTGATTTCCTCCCCCTCCCTCTCAGCCCCTCTCTGCACTGTACGGAGCTGGTGATCAGAGGCACACGGCCTTGATGTGAACGGCAGCCTATAAAACCCACAGCCAAACTAAAGTGCGGTACCCAGCTGTGTTATGAGCGGGAGTAGAAGAATATGCGTCATATTTCGTCCAGCCCCCGCCAGCTGCATTATTATACCCAAACCATCACTTCCTAACTCCCTGCTATCGCTGTTTGCTTCGCCCAGATTGATCATCCACCCGCAGCCAGCAGGTGTTTCTTGGTGGCGTCTCTCAGCAGGCGACAGCGGATGCCACTTGTCCCGCTTGCGAGCAATTTCTTTATTTTTATTTTTTTCTCTGTTGCTTTTCTTTGCACTTTTACTATGATGCCTTTGCAGCTAATCTCCCTCAAAGGGGGACCACTGTCTTTGGAAGTGTTTGTGCAAATGGACAGAGAAGTGCAAAGTAGTTTTTCCCGGGGACAAATGTTTGACCACTTACTCTGACTGGAGTCGTGCTCTCTCCCTCGAAGGACACTTCCTGTGGGATGTGACTGATGGGTCACTAATCACACCCACAGATGCCACCATGACTTTGTCAGGATGCACGGCAGAACTGTTACAATTAACTCTGTTTAAAACAATGGCGGCCTTGCCCAGTTGCCAGGGTGATGAGTAATAACAGCCATTAGAAAAATAATTGGGATGGCGGTGGCATGCCCTGATGCCCCCCGATATGAATCACAATATTGATGCAGAGAATGGGAGCAATAATGACTGCAATTAGTGGTAATTGTCAAGATTTTTTTCTCAGTTCCACAGAGTATTTGAGTCCCCTTTTGTCTTAATCCCATCTTGGTTGCTTTCTGTCTTCAGTTCAATATCCACTGTGTCTTTCTGTTTCCCCTGGTGTGATGAATATGTAGACTTTGAGTATTTCATTAAAAGAGATTAAAATCGAGGGTAGAATTAAATTTGGATGAAGTTGGTGGGATCAGATGATGTCAAAGTAGCTTAATTGCAATATGCCAACCCTGGCATATGCAAACCCAGTGCCCAGCTATTGTACGTGTACACACACACACACACACACACACACACACACACACACACATACAGACACACACACACACACTCACACACCCACACACCCACACACCCACACACCCACACACTTGATCTCTGTGTCAGTGGAAACTGACACAGAAGATATCAACCACTGTCAGAATGCGTGAAGCTTTAGANACACACACACACACACACTATAATCTTATGACATGCTCAGTTGCAGATAAAGACATTTATTTTGGCCCAAAGCCGTCAAGTCAGCAACTCCTGTTATGGCAGCCGCCATCTGTTTGTCTCACAAAATTTTCTGCCTTCTGAAGGTGTTTTCCTGAGCTCAGAGACACTGCGATACCCTGCAGTTAATTATATATTAATTCACATATAGCCCCACCATCTTTATCGGCACTCATTGCCTGCTCCGTTATTATGTGTCAATATTGATGTCATATTTTTCTCTAAATCCTCCCAATGGCCGACACTTTGCTAGGGAGAGAGAAAATGCAAATACTGATGCAAATTGGTAAATACTAGTTTGGGAAGCCCAGCAAGCTGGTACTCTCTTCAAGGCAATCACATTCCACTCCTTGCTTCGCCATATGACTAATTGCTCCGCAAATCATTTATATTCAAACGATGGAGCTCCGTGTCCATTGTGCTCAGTGGGAGGTTTGACTCAGCCGAGCCGTGTCAACAGTCTGACCCACAAACACTATAGGGCCGCTCCAATCAGAGTTTAATCAACCTCCTCATTACTCACTCTTGGGCTTGGGCTGGATGAGAAACATCAAAGATGCTCCCTGCTGCGTCCCAGCCCCCTTGTCTAAAAATATTGGGTCTGAGGGCCAGACAAGTTTGTTGGAAAGATTATGTGCCAAAGTTTCCGCGCCTGTCACTCAGGCATATTTCTGCATGCATCTGCATCCTCATCTGTGAGCTAGTGCTTGTTGGAGCACATGGAAGGTGATCGTGTGGATGAGTTTATTCATTCGCGGGAGCTGAAGTTTGCAACATTACACAAATGTAATAAGAGGCATTACATTGGGAGTGAAATCAGTTTGTTTCGCTTGCACCTGGATGAAATGAGTCTGAAGCCGCCGCCGTGATCTCACTGCTCTGCACTTTGGACAGAGTTTTCACTCTGAGTCAATCACAGATTTATGTGATAAAACTGCTCTTTTAACTATAAATAAACACCAAGTGGTGGCAGGGCCGCAGTCCAAGTTGTGTTGTATTTTTTTGCGCTTGTGTGAGTGTGTGAATATGTGTCTATGTGTGTTTATTTATGCATGTGTGCTGGTGTGTGTCTAAATTCAAGACCAGCCGCCACTTAGAGATTTAATAAGGCTTCATGTATTGAAATGTGTGTGTTGATGCATTCAGACTAGCCAGAGGCAATATCGGGCTGTTTTTGTGTGTGTGTGTGTGTGTGTGTGTGTGTGTGTGTGAGTGTGAGAAGATGAATGCCAATAATTTTAAATATTCTTTGTGTAATCACTAGAACACATTGCTCATGAGGACCCTCTTTAACTTGAGTCTTTCACTCTCAACCTCCTTATTGCTCAGTGTACCCCCCCGCCCCTCTTGTTGTGGTTGTATGCTGAATAGGGAGTAAATGAATGATGCTTTCAGTACTTTATTTTGAAAGGTTCTGTCTCATGTCAGGTGGATATCGGAGATTTCTATTTCTCAGCATCTCTTCCTCCTGTTTGTTGCTTCTCTCTGTCGCCCACCATCCATATCACTTTATTAACATCCATCTCCCTCTCTCTCTCTCCTGCAGCTCATTGTCAGGCGGTGCAGGCGGAGAATGTTACAGTCTTGGAGGGAGGTACGGCCCAGATCTCCTGCCGTCTGCAAAACTACGATGGATCAATCGTGGTCATTCAGAATCCCCGCCGACAGACTCTCTTCTTCAACGGCACGCGAGGTGGGTATCTGAGAGCACATTTGTCTCTGCAGACAAACTTAATCTATTTGAGTCTAAGCACTGGCCCTCCGTTGACATTTGATGCCATCCAGAAACCAGCCAGCGCTCACGCTTTATATTCTTCTTAGTGCAAATGTCCTCGCTTTGCCTTTGAAGCGATTCCACATTAAAAAGTCAGATAACGGCAGAGTTAATTTAGGGGATGGTTTTACTCTTTGCCCTAACAGTGTGACTGCTTTAACTCTTTTAAAAGCCTAGTTTGAAGCTCTCTGCATAATCCACTGTTAACCCCGGTGATGAGATCACAGCTTTTTGCAGCTTCTCATTAGAGCGCGGCCTTGGCAATCACATTCTTTTCTTTAGAGTCGGCATTATGGATAATTATCATTATAACCAATATTATAATGAAGGCAGATTTCATTGAGGGCCTGGAGGTGTGCAAACACTCCATGTTGTCTCTTAACTAATTAAGAGCAAAAGTTGCCAACTTATCCAGATTTTTTTTATCTGTTAGTGCTACAGAAAAACCTCTCAGCAACAGAACAATGATCAAGGATATTTAACATGCCTTTGAAATGTATGTGGGGCGGCTTAATTGAGGCAAAATTTTGTCTTATGTTTCGTGGTGTTGCAATAGTTATTTGCTCTCTGCGTAATCTGTGATAAACTATTTAAGACGTTAGCTCCTGCTTAAACACTAAAACAGTGGTTTGTTACAGTTTAGACTTTAGGGCAAGAGAGTGAATCTGAATGTATGCATAACTTGAAGTGGAGTGCATACCTCTGCCAAGGCCCAACAGTCCCCTTGAATTAATTCAAGCCCTTAAGCCACATTAAGGTTTTCCGTTGTGTGGAATTTGCAGGTTTTTAGCTCTGTTTGTTACCATCCAGCAGCTGAAAAAAGCCTACACCCCCCATCAAGCCCCATTTCCATCCACTAGATCCAGATTTTTGTTTGGAGCTGCACAAAATGGACTTCACTCATCCAGGGATGCTTAAGGTAAGTAATTTCAGAGGACTTTCTCCGCCTGGCCCCATAGTATAAAGTCTGCAGAAAGTGTTTAAGAGCCAATGTGAGCGCACAGCAGGAGAACCCCCGCTGGATTCACAGCGAGCAAATCGGTGTGTTGATGACACTTCTAACAAAACATAAACAAAAACAAAACTAGAATGTCAGCGGCACCATACGGGAGACACAACAGAGTTCGTGGTCATAAGAGCCGTTGTTGATCTGAAATCACATGATCTCTGCAGCACAATGAATCTGCCTGCTGCACCACCCCTTACCTGAATCCTGCAGAGAATGTGTTGCTGTTGTTCGAACAACCAACCTTCTGTTCAGCTGACGACCCATTCTACCTCCTGAGACACAGCCACTCCGCCAAAAAAAGTCACTGACCATCCGAATAGGCACAAATTTTGCAATCAAACTAAATCCAATCGACTAACAAATCAACTGTATGTAGATTTGTGTTCATTGGGTAAAAAGCACAAACAGGTGCAGGATGTTTTGGCACGCCTTGTATGGTAATTGTGCTCCACTGCACAGCGGTTTTTATTCCAAAATCATAACCCAACACAGTCCGCTGCCATCCAACATAGAAATCTTCTCTAACAGGTATCGGCAGACCAGCCAGTCGGAAAACCCAAATCCCCTTGAAAGAGCACACGCTCAGCATTCATTCAAGAGGCTTGGCACCGTGCAAACTCCTCAATTGTGCCTTTTAACATCTACATCCCAAATGTGATCCTCCCCCTTGACTGAACCGTTCAGCGCCTATAGTTTGTGACTGGTTATGATTTGGAAAACCATTGTTCTACTGTTTTTGTAATTGTGCGACAGGTGTTAATTTTCCCAGTTTGAGCTCACTGCACTCACGCTGCTCTCGCTGAACGTTGATGATCGTCAAGGTACCATATGGGATACTCACATTACATTGATGTAAACTCAGCTGCTGTCGCTCAGGTGATAGTTTAGAAGCGTCATTCATTCAGTTGAAGTGCACAGCCAAAGTTATACTTCTTATTTGTGTCACGGCTGTGAGCTTGTGGAAGATGACGAATGCCTCAGCTGCACCGTTCAAGTGCCTGTTTCACACATTTCAAATATGTAAAGTGAAATTACATCAAATGCAAGTGTATAATTTTCCGCAGCTACACTACTGTGCTTAAGGAAAAGACTGAAAATGAATGACTGTCACAGCCGGAGGTTTTCTGACCTTGCAGTTAAAACTCTACTTCATGAGGATTTTTTTAAGGGAATTTATCAGGCATTCTTGGGCTGAATGAAGGTTATCTTTGCTCAAACTGCTTGAACTGACTTGAAACTGCACTTTTAAACACAGAAAATAAATGCAAACACATTAATAAAATTATATTTTATTTTATATTTGTGTTCTTGTTATTCAGTGATATATTTGCACTTCAACACAATTTCACATTTAATCTCTAATTCAACAATCACGACTCCTCCGCTCTCCTTGGGAGCAGTCACTGTCAAGGTTGCAGTCACTGAGGAGCAACATGCCAAGATTAGACAAAACTCCTGAAGACAGAAGAGCTGCTCTCACTGTTCACTGATGCAACATTCAAATGCTTTTGTTCCACACATGTTTACTTCACTTGTTAGTCGCCTCGTTCACGGATTGGCCCTAATTGGGTGCTTCAGGTTTCTGCTTTGGGATACCGTACTTTCAACTTTCCTCCCCGGTTCTATCACATCAGCAGCGCCGCTAAGATCCATCAAGTATCTAAACAACGCCGCCGCGTCCGCTTGCCCACGAGACGGGGGACTTGAACAATTTCGGAAAGCGCGATGAAGCCTAATCAAGGCGAGGAGGAGGGAATGGGTACGAGAATGAAAGAGAGAAATGAAGAAAAGATTGGGGGGAGAATGAAACGAAATTGCGGAGGGTCGAGAAAGACACAGCATCAGAGGGAACGAAGAAAGGGAGCACCAGGTGTTGGAGAGAGAGACCAGAGCCGAGGGAAATAATCCAAAGGGTTAGACATGGAATAAAGTATAGATGTTTTTCCATAACTAATCTCACTCCCGTAAACACCAAAAAGCCTTGTTGGGGACATTTTGCGGGAGCATAAATTACTCTCTACCTCCACGTTTGCTCCATCTCTCGCTGTAGGGCCTTTCCATTTCTGCCTATTGCCCATCTGCCGCCCAGACATTAGGCTCACAAACTAAGGCCTTTCTGTGCCGAGCCATTCCGCGCTAACTGCCCAAATAGGGTCGCGGCTGTAAGTGCTGCGAATTAGACTGCCTGTTTTGCAAGCGAGCAACCAGTCAGGGGTGTGTTTTATGAGATTGCTGGGACTGATAGCTATAATAGAGCTGTGGAACTAACCAAATGGACCATTTCTCCTCAGTGGTCCATATCTCTCTCTCTCTCTCTCTCTCTCCCCCCCCATTGCCAGCAATCCTCGGCATGCAAATGAGACAGGGCAATAAAGGTGAACTTGGACATGAACAGAAGTCTGACATTTCGATGCCATTTAGTGCAGAGAGGGGGAAAAAGATTTACCTATCTGTGGGGAATAGCTCTATAACAATGCTTTTGCTGCCGTCCGGTGGAGGGGGTAATTCTGTGGGTGGGGTAGGGGGAGATTAGTGCGGCGTACTTGCAGGAGGAGTGGACTAACGCCATCGCTCTGGGCCACTCGCTCAGTCCCCTGTGGATTTCTATCTCTATCTATATCATTTTTTCCCCCGCCTGCCGCATTATGTAGCTATATTAGTCTATTTCTCCTGCACACACACACTCACATGCACACACACACTCACACAAAGCCAATATCTGTACTGTAGTGTCTGTGTTGTGATGAATTATCCTGCGAGATGACCGGGTGTTACATCAGGGAAGTGTCTACTGTTCCCTCTGTGAGCCAAAGCCAACACAAAGGAGTGAGGAGAGGGACGGAGTAAAATAAAGATGGGAGAGCGGGGGAGAGGTTTCACAGTCAAGTCAATACAAAGTGAGTCTCAAGGTATTTATGGGAATCTATGGGCATCGAGCCACTGTCACCCACAGGCTGTTATTAGCGTTATTTGTTATTATCAGCATTTTTCTCACTATTGAGTCCACTCTTTCTTCGGCAACAAAAGGAAAATTGTTGCATGTTCTCCTCGTCCAATCCTCCCTGTCAACGTCCCTTCTTTTCCTTTCTGTCTCGTTCGTATAAGGATGAGCTGCAGAATGAAAGCTGATGTGTTTTTTCTTCTTGTTTTCAATCTTTTCTTTCCCCCCAGTGTTTACCCTGTGTATGATTGTAGTATTTACCCTGTCTCTCTTTGACTCACAGGGCAGCACCACTCACTTTAACAGCTTTCCTCAAATAATTTCTGGATGTGCAATGAGCTTTATTTGCATGGCATCTTTTAGTTAGCGAGTGCTTCACGGAAAGTAAAACAATAATGATTAAAACATAATAAGATGAACAATAAAATGCCAGACACTAATTAGAAAAGGGCTTACAGAGGAATAAAGCAGGCGGTTAGAAAGAGAATAAATGAGTAAATTATAGTTTAGGATGGTCCAATCAGTGCTTGGGAAAATGAGCAACATTCTCCCTCAAAGCTGGAAATGAAAGAGCTACGACATCTGTTATGTTGTATCAATGCACAGCCCGGAGCGGCTCCATCAAGACTGACTTTGCAAACTCTCTCTGAACTTTTCGTATCAAACCGAGCTTTAGATTTAGCAGTGCTATCAATTCCAGAGCAGAAAATCGTCCCGGGTGCTGTCACAGCCACTATTTCTCCCATGTTTTGCAATTTTTTTTCTTCCTCCTCTGCAGAGTCTGAGAGTGACATCACAAATTACAAGGTGGTGAAAATGCTGCTCTCAGTCCAGACCGTGGTAGAACTTAGCAGTGCCGCTAACGCAGAGCAAAACTATCTCGAGGCAAAGAAATAAGTGATTCCAAAGCTGAAAATGTCAAAGCATTTAATTAAAGCAGCGGTTGTTTCTCATGCTGTTTAGTGTACTTCTCAGTTACTGGTAAATATTCAGGTTTTTTTTAAAAGGATTTATGCTTTTGGTATTGATTTGAAATGCCTGCAACCTTTTCCAACCAATGCAGTTCACTATGCAGAGCCGCAACCCGAGCACTTGCACAGACCTGCAATCCTGGACTTCTGTAGTATATAACTTGGACCCTTATCAGCAATAAAAGTTCAGGCAATTGCAGGAACTGTCACTTTCTTGGCCTGCAAGTGGCAACATCAGTGTACCTATATCTGCAGGTCTAAAATGCTATTTCCCCTCAAGTGGTGCTGGTTTGCTTTATCCAGGTTCCGATAAAATATTTATTATTATGGTCATTGATTGCTGCTGCCCTGGATTGAAAGAGAACCAGGCCAATTAGAGCCTTTCTGTCTCCTCTGGGGTTTCTGCAGTTGGTTATTGTGGTAGCAAATCCAACAAAACATAATATCTACGACCAGATTGATTGGGAAATACCAAACCCCTCAGAAAGAGACATGATATCAGAAACCATAACAAGTTAAAAAAGTTAAATAAAGACAGGAAGTGGATTTGTGTAAAATGTGCAAGTGAAGTACAAACCAGTTCCCTGAGGTGCCTCTCATCTACAAACAAATTCCAAATAAAAGCCAGCAAAGGCCTGCCAGTTAAACGTCTTGAAACAAGCTCTTTATACATATCACTTTGGCAGTCTGAGATGTGTGTGTGTGTGTGTTAAGGGGATGGGTGGGGGGGGGTTCAATGTCACATAGACGATGGGCTCCGAGACGAGAGGGCGACCCTGAGCCACATCTCAGCCTCTCACAAGTTCTTTGTTTGCAATNAAAAAAAAAAAAAGAATCAATCTGACCTGGAGAGAAAATATGTTTCTTGTTTTTCCCTTTGTTTGTAACTATTCTTGTTTTGACATGAAAACAGTGTTTAGCAGCTTTTTAAATTCAGTCCCTCACGTATGATAATGATATTTTTCCACCAGTCACTAATCAGCTCACCTTCCTTCTCCTTGTTCTTCCTTCTACTTCCCTCCATCCTCCCTCTACCCCTGTCTCCCTTGACAACCCCGACCGTGCCTCCCCATCATCTTCCCCAGCACTGAAGGATGACCGTTTCCAGATGGTGCTCTTCACGCCGCGGCTGGTGCGCATCACGTTGACCAACGTCAGCGTGCTGGACGAGGGCGGCTACTTCTGCCAGCTCTACACGGACGCCACGCACCACCAGGTGGCCACGCTATCCGTGTCTGTGCCGCCGGAGACGCCCACGGTGGACGTGAAGCAGGAGGCCGTGGAGGGCGGAGAGGTGGAGCTCACCTGCGTAACACCGCGCAGCAAGCCGGCCGCCACCCTGCGCTGGATCCGTAACGGCCGGGAGATACCAGGTATATCAGGATTTGGCTGACAGATGGATTGATGGATGGTTGGATGATTACGATAAATGAAACCAAATTAATGAAGGGATAGAGGGGAGGTGAGGTGCTGAATATAAGAATGATGGATGGATGGGTGATTGATGGGTTGATGAAGTGAATGGCAGATGGATCACTTAATGGGAGCAGGTTCTGATGGATGGTTAAATGGAGGCAGAGGAGGAAGGTTTTGGAAGCCCTGGGGTACCTTCCTTCCTTCCTTACCTCCCTCCCATCCTCCTTCCTTCTCTCCTTCACAAGCAAGTACAAATCCTTTAGTCTCTTCCCTACAATAACAACACATTTCCTCCTTCATGTTTACCAGCGTCTGTTCTAAACCTGGCTGTTTGGAATGGGCTGTTTGTTTGGCCTGTGGTGATGCTGCTTGCAGTTTTCCTTCTGAAACTGTAAAAGTGACCTGCAGTAAATTAAAGTCCACAGAAACCCGAAGCTGCATCACTGCTGCACAAAGAGCTGTTTGTCTGTTTATTCAAAGTTCGGTGAATGTCGTACTTGAAGCATCTACAAAACCCTGAACTGGAGAATCGGTCGTCGTGACCACGCTTTTGTCATGATGCACAGCGTCACTTTCGTTGATCAGCGCTGCTCGCCTGTTTATTCAAACTTTAATAATATCGAACATCCTGTGTCCGAATGCCATCAAATTCAGCACCACACTTCTTTTGGCCCGTAACGATACACATGCCTGGTGTGAAGCCAATAAAATGAAAGGTTCACGAGATATGAGAGCCACAGAAAGACAGACAGAGATTCCTGGAATTATTAGATAGAAGATATATATCCTTATGCTCTCTTGGAAATAAAATAAAATAAGCTTGGTCTTGCACATAATCCGCCGAATGCACCATTGAAATGAAAATAAAATGAAAGCACAAACACACACCCTTCAGATCTTCTGCTTTTCTCACTCTGCCTCTCTTCGCATAAAAACACACTTTTTTTTATTCGCCATCCACTATCTCTTCTGATACATCTATGAACCATCCATCAGTCTGTTACCCTGAGCCGTCCTTCCTTACAATGCTGTCTCCCTCGGCTTTTCGCAGTTCAAGGTGAATTTGACTTGTGTGACTTATCTTTCCGCTGCCTTCAGTCTATTTAACCTCAGCCACTAAATCAGCGTTTGTGTGTTTGGTTGAATTTCCTCCAAAACTTGTGCTCGGTTGACTGAGTACAAACAAAAGAAAACTTGCTAAGTTATGCAAAGCGTCTCTCGCGAAGGCTCATGGCTATTATTTTAATTTAATTTATCTCTGCTTTTTAATAAATATTGTTACGCATTCCTTCATGCTTGATGCTTTCACCTATAACTCACACAGACCAGAGGGAATAAAGTGATATTCTTTCGGGGACATTGTGCAACGTTTTTCCCTCTCCAACAACATGTCAACCAGCGTCTGTCTTAGTTTCTATTTTCGTCTGACACTCAACGTCTCTTTCATCCAGTCTCTTTGCCCCTTTTCTAGATCAGAACACACCTGTCACCGCCATTCTGTCTCCCCTCTCTCTGTTTTTCTCTTTAATCTGCCTTTTCCTTTCATTCTTCCCTCCTTTTTTCTTTGAATTTCACTGGGGACAGAGATGCGATATTCCTCCGCAAGGTTATTGGTTGATTTAAGAGTCAAAAAGCAGATAGAGGTTGAACTTCGGTCTTTCTCCCTGTTTCCTTACACTTGTCTTGTTTCCTCTCCGTTTCCTTCCCTCTTGTCTTGTCTCTCCGAAGCTCTCCACTCCACTTGTCTCCTCTTCACTCGTTTCCTCTCATCTTTGTTGGTCTCCTCTCCTCTTCGCTTGTCTTCTCCTCTTCTAATCACTTGTCTCCTCTCCATTCCTCTTTGTTAGTCTCCTCTCCTCTTCACTCGTCTCCTCTCCTGTTTCTTGGTCTTCTCTCCTCTCCTTTCCTCTAATCCTTCCTCCTCTCTTCTCTCCTCACCTCCTCCCCTATCCTCTCCTCTCTGCCCTGAGTTAAATGAACTGTGACACTAAAGGTAAGCGGCAGATCCCAGCAGATATGTGGGAGCATTCTTTAATTAGGACACTATCTTTTCCACTGCTCCCTCGCTCCTGTTCATCTGCACCCATGCTGTCCTCTCTCTCGATCTTCGATTGGGGCTTACTTTCATTTGATCGCTGGCAATAATTGAAAACTCAGTGTGATATAAGTAATATTGTTGTATTCTGCCTCAACGGGCACAAACTCCACAGTACGTGACCGCGTCGAACCCCGTTAGTTTGTCCCTTGTTGTTCCTCCGCCCTCCTTCTGTCTCTCCTCCTCCTCTCTTCTGCCATCTTTATTCCTCTCCGCATCTGCCACGGCACCCTGATCATCCTCTTTCATGTCTCGCCTCGTCTCGGCATCATGTCCATTTTGCTGCCCTCTCTTTTTGTCTGAGTCCTTTACTTTCGTCTCTCACCCTTTGACGCCCCTCTCTGTCTTTCTCTCTCTCTCTCTCTCTGTCTGGCTCAGTTAAAATCTCAATTCGTTTATGCATATTCTCTCTTTTATCCTTCTCTCTCTCTCCTCCAACCCTTTGTTGCAGTCTTCCTTTAATTCTCACACACACACACATTCAGTTGATTTACCATCCACAACAAACTGTTCTGCTGTTTATAATTGCCATGAAATGTAGATGCAAATTGCTTCCACTTCTCTCTCTCTCTCACCACTCATCCCCCGCCCCACCCCAGGTGGGGTACCTGCTGCTCCTCTAAGAATCTCATTCATCACTCACTAACTTCATCTTCCTCTCTCTGCTCACTTCTTCATGTTCTCCTCTCAAAGTCTGTCTCCACCTCTCTCTCCATGGGTGTGATGTCTCAGCAGGGAAAAAAAGAAGAGCAGGCATGTTTTGGCTGCTAACTTGTTTCTCTGCCACCCAACCTGTCTACTCTCCTCTCCATCATCTCATCCCCTCTGTTCTCCCTGTCTCTCTCCAGGTGTGGTGTCCCAGCAGGACAACGGGAAGACGTTCAGTGTGTCCAGCACCATCCGGATCCCCGTAGAAAGGAAAGACAACGGGGCGGCTCTGAGCTGCGAGGCTTTCCACCCGGCGCTGAGTGGACAGAAGAGGATCCGCCACTACCGCCTGGATGTGTATTGTAAGTCTGTCTTTCAGGTGTATGTGTGTGTACATTTTATATCCAAGAGCTGTCAACCCATCTTAGAAAGAACTTGAATAACAAATTGTTCATCTCAAACATTTAAAAAACACTGATTATTCCATCTGGTGAGTCACTTGAGTCGCTATACTGTTCATTATAGTGTCTCACTTTAATGTCAACCATCAATTTGCAGCAGCCTCATTTTTCAAATGGTGGATATCTTTTTTTTTTGAATGAAACTCATTTATACACAGTCCAGGATTTTAACAGAGTGGATCCAGAGCCGCCCTGCAGGAGACCTGCTCTCATTAAAACCTAATACATACAAATCTTGTCATGCAGCGAGCTGGCAGAAACAGGCCTGTGGCCAGTTTAGGGTCTTGGCCTGTGGTTTAAGGAGCAAACCATCATCAGCTGATAAAACCTGAGTCACATTAGTATGTGCAGTGATTCCAGTTCTGCTCTGGGATTGATTGATCTTTGCTGGCTTATTTGCGCTCTTTAGTCTGCTCTGAAGTCTGTGCACATACCTCTGTGCATTCGGGGGAGGTGAAAGCAAAGAGTAAAAATACAGTGACACACATAAATTTATAAATTTATATTCAGTTCGAACCGTGTTTTTGTTTTAATCTGAATTCTCAATATTTTCCCAAATCTGTGAATGGTTCATTGGGATAATGGTTAAAATCTTCAATCTTTAATTGAGAAGTCTGAAACTCATTATTAAATCTGTTCAATGTTCATGTCATTTCGTTGGCTCCTAATCCTATAAAACAGGTTTGCTGCTATCACTGCTGTTTTGTCATTTCTGTCTTTTGTTTTTTGATGTGAGAAGAACTGTTAGCTGTTTATAATCCAGCAGGATTTGTATCTAATAATGCTGTTTGTAAATGTGGCTGAAAATCTTTAATTCAATACAGAAAAACAAAGTAATATCAGAAACACGTCAACAAGTCCAGATTTCAGAGGATAAATTGTCATTTTCTATGAAAAGTGCATAATATAATTGTTTTTGTCCGACTTTACTGTGTCGACATTCAACAAGTCGGCCAATATCCAATTACTCCAGTTGTGCTCTCATATCAGTATTGCAGACAATTTTCACTTCTTATCTGATTATACATCAATAATCTTGAAGACACAAACATTCCACAAGCTTGTGAAGATATTTTCATAAACTACTTCTGGTACAATTCATTCATCACGTGTACATTAATGGTTGTTGATGGATAATAATGTGTAATATTCAATAGTCCTGTCAGTCTGGGTGTTGCTGGCTGCTCCAGCCGGAGAACTGGCAGTAATGACCAACTGTCAGTAAGGATTTGGCTTCCCATCGCTCTGCTACTGAAGTAAGAGCAGTACGGCAGCTGCTCGAGCGGTGGGCTGCTTATGATAACAGGTGTCTCAGCCGTTGGATTGTCGGCTGGTTGCCTTGGAAACAGATGTTAAAGACCCTACCTCCTGCCACTCACTCACTTTTCACTTGTTCCTTCTTATTGTTCCCTCTCTTGTCTCTGATTTCCTGTATCTTGATTTGTATTTTTCATTCCTGTGATCGCCACTCAATTTTAATAATTCTGATCCATTTTGTTGTCTATTGTGCTTTTCCTGTTTTCTCTCTCACTCGTACAGATGCTTCTCATTTATCTTCCCTCGTCCTATCTGTCGCTCTCACTCTCTCTCTCACTTTCTCTCTCTTTCTCTCCGCAGTTGCACCCACAGTGAGAATCGTTCCTCCTACTGGCATTTTGCGAGAGGGTGACTCGCTTACCCTCAGCTGCTCCGTCAATGGGAACCCACTGTAAGTCTGTGTGTCTGTGAGTGTGTGTGTACCATAGAATGTATATAAAGATGGACGACGCTTCTCCACTTCCTCCTGAAGCAAAATTTTCCTGGATACGAACGCTGCCATCTTGCACCTTTGCTGCATTTGGAGCCAGAGTCAGAGCTGTAGTGATCCTGGTGTTGAGCCGCTGTGTTGAGTTCCAAGTGATAGATACACTTGATACATACTCAAGTCAGTCTGAGCTGCCAATTATTCAATTCAGAATACTTCATTCCTCCCTCAAGGGGCAGCTCCAGGCAAGAGGGAGAGTGAACAGACAATTCACCCACACACTTAAAAGACAAGAGTAAAACCTGAGAAATTTAAAAATACATTTAGAAATTACAAAAAAAGGAAAAAATAGAAACATGTTGTGATTTTTTTATAGCATCAAATAAGTAATTGAAACAAACATTTGATAAAAACTACCGAAATGACAGAATGCAATTATTTAATATGAACTTTTATGTACTTATGTAGATTTTTGTTCAAGTTTGGTCCATGTCTCATCCACTAACATGGAAAATGTTAGTTCTTATTGCAAGTTCATTTACATTGGTAATAATTAATAATACAAAGCCAGAGAGAACTACTACAGTTGGTTAATGACCTTTAATGTCCTGTTTTACTGTTTGAGAGAATGATGCTCATTGTTCATTGTTAAAGCAGGTTTGATGACTTCTTGCATTCATCACTTTTCGAAAACTTATTTCCTTGAAGATTGGAATCATAGACACATTTACCTTTCACCTCCACAGGATGGTAAAACTGGCACATTTACCAGCTGGCACCAAACCCTTTTTTTTGGTTTGTCATTGCAGTGTTTGGACGTTTTTCTCTCTTTCTGTAATGAATTCATGAGAAAATGATCACAAAGTATAAAAGGTTTGTCTCAGCACAGTGTCTGTGCTGACAAATTGGCTTAAGGATGCACTGAGAGCTTTTGATTGATGAGGACATGCAGGACGTTGCCAAGTGTAATGTCAGCCCTTACAAGCACAAAATTTCACAAAATTATATTAAGGGCCAGTAAATGCTCATATTGAAACAGTCTGGGGCAATTGTTTGGAGCCACTATGAGGATGACATTTAGGCCCGACCATAAATTATCAGTAGGTAGCTACAAGCCTACAGGGCTCGACTCTCATTCTGGCTCTCTGTTTGGAGGGAAACATTTTCACTGTCCTCAGTCTTTACTTACCCAGGACACCTTTTCTGCAGAAAAAGCTTGAACAGGGAGCATAGCAGTTAGACTTAAGGTTAACATGTATATGGTAACGTTTCATTGGATTATCTTGGTGGAATAAAAACAAAGAAAATGTATGAATAATAATAATAAATGCTAATTTGGAAGATTTCAAATGTTTTATTTAGATTTAATATATGGTCAAGATGTGAGGGTCAAGTACTCCCCCCCCCCAACTTCAATACATTCCCATTGTCATTACTATGAAGGCTGCCTTTATGCATAAAAAGAGATGTGTCCATTTCGAACAATGTAACCGTCACATACTTCCATGCATCCTTTACGTTGGCATGGTTGCTAAGCAATACATCCACTAGAGGACAGCGAAGAGACGACATGGTGATGAGGAGGTTGTGATAATGAATTGTGGCTGTTTGTCCCTGTGTCCAGGTGAAGTAACATCACATAGAGACTTGTAGTTTCTTACCCAAGTCGTGAATTATATATATCTATCCGTCTCCATGTATGTGTGATCGTTAGGACATCGTCAAGATTAAATTAAGCAAACGGAGGCAATGGTCATTTTCATTTCACAGACGAGCAGATCATCTGTATGTGTAAAAGCAGAGCATACTCACTTGCCTCAAGATAGCAAAGCCATTTTTCCTGACCACACCTCATTTCAAGATCATGGGCGCTCAGGAGGTTGCAAGTACATTTGCTGCTCAGGCTGGGAGCTGATTTGTGCCGGGTGTAAGATGGGATCCTCAATGATTGATGGATAACAGATAAAAACCACCTGATCCATATTTTATTACATCGAGAACAAAGACGATAAAAGCCTTGAGAGAGAGAAGCTACCTAGGGTGTATAAGGACACTAGAAAATGAGTGTGAATAAGGACGTATTATAATCGTGTATGTGTTTGAGGGCCGAGCTACCAAAGCCAATCAGCAGTCGACACTTTAAGAGCCAAAGACGTTTTTCTAGTGTGTTCACGGCCCTTTGTGCACTCTCCAGAAGGGTATTGGGTCCTAAGCTCTTAAACCCTCCCCGAGATGGTCCATCTGTCTGTGGGCACCAAGTCCACTAAAGCTCCCCAGTACAGCAGCCAACATGTGTGCATGCGTGTTGGTGTGTGTGTGATGACTTTAGTAAAATCCCACAGTGAAGACTGACTGAGATGCGTATTGGCTACAGCTGCGCTACAGCTTTGGAGCGGCTGGTTGGAGATGCTGTGCGTGTGTGTGTCTATTTGTGTAATGCATGAATGTGACGGTGAGGGACAGGACAGCAGCCCACTCTGGACTTTGACCCTCATCTCATGCTGGACTGCACATACACACTCACAAACACACAACAGTCCCTCGTCGCCCCCGTGCCGGCTCCCTGGCCCGTGTTAACGGCCTGTCAAGCATTAAGACTAATTATGTGCCACTTCCTTTCAGTGAAGGGGGACAATCATTGTTTGTCTAATATTATAAGACACTGAGACAGTATCTTGTCATTGTGCTTGATCGTCGTGCTTATTTGCTTGTAAGCATTTGATGGATTTACTGTGTGTGAGATTACATGTTTGCACATATGTGTGTGATAGAGAGAGAGGGAGAGAGGCAGATCTTGTTTGTGCACATTGAGTGTGAGTAAGAGGAGAGTGTGTTTGTGTGTGTTTGTGTTTGTGTGTGTGACCAGGCAAGCAATGGGTTTAATTAGACTTCCTGAGGGATTAAAACCCAGATGAGTCAGAATTGTAATCTGGCCAGGGTGGCATGAGCCATGACACCCAGCCAGACACACACACACAGACACACACACAGCCTTGTTCACCATGGTGTCTCTGTAATCCGTGCACTTCTTCTGCCAGCTCATCTTTCATGACCAATTTATTTTGTCTGTCTGCTCCTACCTTTCATCTCCCATCACACCATCACCTCTCCCCTCAGTCCTTCCTCCACCTGTAGTAACACTTTTTCTTTCTTCCTGCTTTAGTTTTCTCCACCAGTCTACAAATCTGATCTCTGTTTCACTATCATCTGCCTCTTCTTCTTCCTGTCAGCCACTTCACAGCTTCACTGCCCTCTGACTCCTCATTATTCGTCAGGACGCAGCCCTCTGTTGCCATTGGCTCCTTCTGCAAACCCCTTTTACTCCATCCTTCCCCCCTGGGCTCCTTTACCCTCATTTCTCACCTGTCCTGCTGATGCTTTAAACCTTTGACTTGAAAAAACTTTATCAATTAGACCCTGTTAGACACAGTAGAATTTGTGTTACCCAGTTTTTGTCACTTTGTGAGTTTTAGTGAATCCGAAACCTCCCGTCATCTGTATTTAACAGATGTAAACACAGAAAAGAAGATATTTTGTGTTAACAAGCAAACAGCTTACATTTCACAGGCATTCACTAACAACATCTAGTGTAACTCAGGGGACCACATGCAGTCCTCACTGTAAAGCTGGAGGCTCACTCACCCTCCAATTTTAAACAAAACAACTACATTCCTGAATATAGGCTTGAAGACTACCAATTCATGTAATGTGTGTATATTTAAGAAGAAAAATAGGATAGTTTTGTTTTTACCAGGAGTTATATTTCCCCTCTTGTCTTTAAATAATCTCTCTTGCACTCCGCTATAGCGTCAATAGTGTGCAATCCAAGATAAAGTTAGCTTAGACACAGAGTCCAGTCACATCAACAAATGATAAGCTCCCAATACCAGACAAAAGACTTACGACCCTGTTACTTTACAGATTTGATGTGATTATGTACAGTTTCTATATCACCCATCCCATTCTTATCAACTGTTTATAACCAATGTTAATTTAGTATTGTTGTCTCAACCCACTGTCAGACCACTGCATGACATTACTGACAATATAATGAGACTAAGCTGAAACATGAACCCATCGATGAGGCAAAATGAGAGTTGTGATTTAAATGATTGACTTGGATAATGAAGCCCGACAATGGGGAATGGGTTAGTTTAACATCTCGAGCCTATAGTGCTACTTAGCATCGGAAAAAGATATAACGCTTAACATTAGTTTCACCAGACCTATCTAGTGCTGGGGAGTCAAATATATTCTATAGTCTCAAATACAGTTTATAGTCAAACTATTAACCTCAGTTTCCTCATAAATCAACATGATTCCAGTCAATCAAATTCTGTGTGTGGGCAACTGCACGCTGACTCCAGTTCACTTAACAGCCACCGGTGTCATTAATAACAAGTGTTTTCTGAATGTCACAAATCTCCAGCCAATCCAGATTTATACATTGTATTTCTCTCGTTTTCCGTCAACCAGGCCCAGGAACATTCAGTGGTCCAAGATTAATGACACTTTACCTGAGAGGGCGGAGATTTCTGGCCCCACCTTCCAGATTTCCCGTCTCAGCCAATCACACAACGGGACATACCTGTGCCAGGCTCAGAACAACTACGGACGTGCCGCCGATCATTACACCCTACTGGTGTATGGTGAGTAACCATGACTACCGGTTAATTATTTGCTGAAGGTTCTAAGTCAAGTAATTTTTTCTGATTGATCTTTTTCCTTAATAATTTTATGCTCAATGGATCTTTTGTATGTTACTTTTCTCGTCCTTGTGTTTTGATGATGTTTGTTATTTCTTTTTTTAATCTTCTGAATTCTATTGATCCTTTTTTATCTTCCCAGTGTCTTTGGAGTCTAGCTATTCTGGCACTGGGCAACAAATCCATTAAATCTTGATGCTTGTCTCATTTGTCTTTCAGCTTTTGTTATTTTCCTGATTTGGTAAACAGCAGGAAACCTCTGCTGAACCTCCTGTGCAATTGAGTCAGCAGAGGTATTGATCCCACAGAAAGTTGTTGGCCACGGTGCTCTGATACTAGTCACCAACATCATTATTCAGGCTACCTCTCGTAAAGAACCAATTTATCATCTCCCCTGTGACCCACTCCTCTATTTCACAATACAAGCTGACACACAAGAGCAAAAAGAAAACACGTTAACACACACTTCTGAATCTGCCTGAATTTGGCTATAAACAACATCTGTGATTTGATTTGAGCGAAGGCATCAGAGCAGGAGGAAGATGTGGGCAACAGGCTTTTTGTTGTCAGGATTTACAAGTTTTACAAGATGTTGCACCTAGATTCAGCGTTGCGGCTAAATTCTTAATCAAGGTTGACCCAGATAGGCTGCACCCCGTGGCTCAAAGAGGGTGACAGCGGAGCTCGCAACATCACACAAGAGTCTCGTATCTTCATATTGTTCGGTAAATGTGACAAACTTCAGCTCCACGTTTGAAGCGTGTTTGAGGATCCGGTTTAGTTAATGTTGTCTAATCTACACGTGAAACAACTGAGTGAAGCTGAAGTCGAATAAGAACAAAATAGGAACAGTGAGATTTTAATGAAACAGCAGCAAAGCTAAATTGCAACGCTAGCTCGTCATTAGAGGCTTCTACAACATCCAATACATTTGTGGTTTGCCCTAATTGCATGTACACCACTGCCACTCAGCAGGTTTGCCCTTTTGATCTACACCCCCCTGCTGGCAGCCCGTGTCATTGCACCGTTGTGCCTGATTTGCAGATCAGAAGGAAATGGGTGGATGGAGGGAATAAAGACATGAAATCTTATGTAACATTTTTAGACTGCTTTTGGTAGCGCCCCCTCATCTATCCATCACACTACTCCCATTCTCTCTCATGCACGCACACACCATCAACAATCGCACTCATGTACAAGCGCGCCGAGCATCAAACAGCACACATAATGGCAGCTTTCCACAGGCATCAAGGGTGGCAACAGTGGCACGATGAAAGGTGACATACCCACCCACTCCCCCATCTCTCTCCCCTCCTCTGTCTCTCGTTCTCCTTCTCTATCCTAGAAGGTTCGATACGTTGGAGCTTTGATGTGCGTCGCCACCTCTGTAGAAAAATGTTCTGTCTCTTTCCCACTTTTTAGCTTTCTCCCTTGCCATTATTTAGCTGTCTCCTTCATTTGTTTTTCTCTGTGCCTTTTCTTCCTCCCCACATTTCACCATTTATCTTCTTTATGTCGCTCTGTGCTGGCCATTAATTTGATATATCACACTTTTTACTTCTAATCCTCTCTTTTTGGGGGGTTTGCGTTTAAAGTAAAGAATTTAGCTTGACCAAAATCCATAAAAGACCAGAAATCCACATAACCAGCATAAGCCGGGCGCAGCCCTTCTGCTCTGCACCATGGATTTCCAGCAATCAGCTTTTAAATCCTCCTCTTGTAGTCCCATATCAGTGGTGGTTTGCTGTATTAAAAAAAAAGTACTCTCCCACTGGGCAGTTTGTTTCGCACCTTATCTCAAAGAGCTCAGAGTTGTTGATTCAGCCATCATATTAATCTCTAGACGACTGAAAGTCACTCTTAATTTTCACGTATGTCGCAACTAATGATGTTGATTTTTTCTCAAGAAATGTCAAATGGACTCTTTGCATTCAGGCTATAATGTTCCCAGTGATATGCTTGTCCATGTAAATGTTGCACAACTGCAAACTGTGTGCTACATCACTGTCAATGTAAATAAACCACCATGGATGAATTAATTCAGTGTTACTGAAGTGCTAGTTTGTGATGATCAAATACGTTAAATAGGTTCATTAGTCAATACTGAAAATAAACATGATTCCAAGCTGTAAAATATATTAAGATGACTCATCGCTCTAACACACAGCAGTGTGCTTTCTTTCATTCCAGCAGACACATTATTACAGTAGGTGTCTTATGATAATTCCCAAATAGAGAATATCTCATTTTGTAACAAAGTTCTTCACTTATTCATAAAGATTTAGTGATAGAAAGATAAAGCCTCATTCTTCTCTTGCTTCACTTTTTAAACCATTTTATTCCCTGTGTTCTCCATCTATCTTTTCCTTTCTATCCTTTTTACTGTCCTTCCCCCATTCCCTTCCTTCTATTCTTTTACTCTGCCAGCTGGTCTCTCCTCTTTTACACCTCTTGTCCTCTTCCTCTTCGCCTCTTCACTCCTCCCACACCCTTTCAACTTTTTCTCACCTTGCCACCATGTTTGCCGTTCATGCTCGGTTCAGCTGCAGTTCAGTATTTTTACTCATGGAGGGCCTTGCTTTCTGGGAAAAGGGCAGAGGGAGAAATCAGTCAGACTGAGTGGGGGGGTTTGGAATGGATGGATAGAAGGGTGGAGTGAGCGAGGGAGGGAGGTATGAAAAGACAGATAGAAGGACGATGGAGGTCGAACGCAGGTTAACGTTCAGTTCCACTGTCTGTCACTTTAGTTGGCTCCCACTCTTTTACCAGAGGGAATACCAAGGTACACTGGGGGAGTGGAAGCGAGGGGGTAAAGAGAGAGCGCTGGAGGAGTGTGTCGTAAAGGATGAGTCAGCAGAAAATAAACCACTTTATTGCAGGAGCAGAAAAACCTCCGGCGCACTCTCATCGCTCTCCCTCACTCGTTTCGTTTCAGCCTTCCCTCTGTGAGAGTTATCAGCCATCAGGGTCTGCACCGAGCACAAATGTGCAAAAGTGGCTGCCAATTTGTTGCAGGTGTTTTTTTTGGCTTTGTCACTGGGTTAGTTCTGGCGAAGGAGAACGGAGGTAGAAAAGTCAGCAGGGAGCCCGCGCTGAGGCAAAGATGTGATAGATTAAAGCTGAGGTTTATTTAACTGGTCACACTTGTGTGTACATGTAACTGTGTGTGTGTGTGTGTGTGCGTGCATGCGTGTGAGAGAGAGTGTGTTGTACATGCAGTTTAATGAGTTTATGATTTAGTGAAAGATTGTGAGACCTTTCTCGTTCGCGTGCGAGTACGTGGTGCACGAGTTAGTAGAACGAAATTAACTTTCTGCAACTTTCAGAAAGTTACTAATGATGTGAAGTGGAGGAATTGTTTTGAATAAGTCACATGCACACACACATATTACACACACACACACACATACACACATACACACATACACACAACAATCTGCACAATTCTAAATTAATGTGCCCTCTGTTGGTTGTTTCATCTCTGCCACCATTGTTTAGGAGAAATTGGATTTTTTTATATTTGTGTATACGTGAAGTTGCACATAAATGCATGTGACTGGGAGGAGAATGCTGCTGATTGTCTGCTGAAAGCCCGGAGGGCTCCCTTATGTAATTGAACTGAGCCGCTGCACTCAGATGAGTCGCCAAACCAATAAAACCCATTAGAATTGAATTGCATGAGAGAGTATAGGAGATGGAGGGAGGGAAAGAGAAAGGTAGAAATGGACAGGATAAGACCTGAAAGTGTTTGCATATATGTAATAAACTTTTGCATGTGTATGTGACTGTGCGTGTATATTTCAGGAAGTTTGCAAAGAGATAATAGAAAGTAAAGGAGAGTGATAGAGGGATGAAAGGATGGATACATGGTGAGATGAAGAAGGATATTAGGTGACCAGGGATTACTCTCGGCCTCCTCCACTGTTGTAATGAGCTGTCAGGGTAATTGGAATGAAAAACACAGACCTCCATTTAATGAAGTGAGACTTTCAAAAACAGAATGAAAATGGAAAAAAGGTGTCAGATGAAGCCAGACACAGATAAAGCAGAGTCAATTTTGTTTGAGGAGAAAAAGTCTTCACTTCTCTTTTCCTCAACACATGACACTGCGCCTCTGTCGGTGTCTGAGACAATCAGCGCTGGCCTTTACAGCCTCGGCGGTGAACCTCTGACCAAACATCTAACGCTGACGCACACTGATTGACAACTGGAGTCACCGCCGCTCTGGGCAAGGCCTTTATAATTAGAGACACAGAACATGAAAGCGTAACGGGGCTCATCCAAAATGGTGGCACAGTATCCTCAGGCGCACTTCTGCAAGAATTAGATACAAGGAGAAATGTCATTATTGCAAGAACCGCCACATCCATCCCTGGAAATAACATGGGCTGTGTGGCTGATTGGCAGCCATATAGTGTTAATGAATAACAATATGATGTGGGGCGAAAAAGAACGCTATCGGCCAAGAGAACGACCGCTGTATAGCATTCCCCTTAATTAAGTTGAAGAGAGGCAGTGGGGGGAATATAGTCACTGAGGAATAAAACTCGAGAGGCAGTCGAATGAAGGCGAGTGAAAGAGGGGAGGGAAGGGGGGTGCAAGTGAGGGAAGAGCGTTTGGTTTGAGAAAAGCGAGAGATGGTGGTAGAAAGATAAGAAAAAGTTGGAATTACTGGGGAAAGAACTATTTTAGGTCGTCTGTGATAGTCAAGAGAAATTCATCAGCGTCCACTTAATTAGTGCACGACCCCAGCCATTAATCCTCAGCCCTCAGGCTCAGTTGGCAGCCACATACACACACATGCAACATACTGTACAAGAGAGCATCAGCACACACACACACACACACACACACACACACATCTAGGTAATTGCAGGGTAAGTTCTCTTTTCTCTCCGACAGGTGCGATTTACCTTCTCCTCTCCCTCTCACATTTTCTCCACCAAAAAACTCCCTTTTTCTACAATATACATCATGTACATTTCTTTACAGAGGGAAGAAAACCAAGGCAGAACTTGAAGAAAGGGAGAAAAAGGAGGGAGAGGGGAGGTATAGTGCTGACACAAGAAGAGTGCAAAAACAGATTGATGATCTCAGGGCCAGTGGGAGAAAGGGAGAGAGGGAGAGAAGGGACGGAGGAATACTTACCAATAAATTACTCCTGAGCAGAAAGGGCAGTGTGTGTGTGTGTGTGTGTGTGTGTGTGTGTGTATATGCTTTTGTGAGTGTATTATACAGTACATTTGTGCGTGGGCAATTATTAATTATTATGCGTGTGTATGTGTGCGCACACGCTTTCATATATCTAAAAGAAGAAGCTGTGTGTATGTTAACGTGTGTGTGTCCTGAGATGAGTACGTAGATGATGTTGTACATTGTGGTTTTTGATAGATTGTTTCAAGTGCTATGTTACAAACACACACACATCGACTCAGCCATTATTTTTGTCTTTAGCTGCAATAGGAACTTGTCTCTTTCTACCTCTCCACCTACCATTGTGCCTCAGCCATTGATTTGGAGAATGTGTCAAGATCCAAGCTATTGTTCAGCACTGAATGAGACAGTCCCTGCATGGCGCCGTTCCACTGGGAATGCATCTGTCACAGGCAATGTCTTTGTCTCTCCTGCCATTGTACCACAGAAAGTGTGTCAGTGATGGAGAGCGTGCTCCTATATATTCCATTTGCCTCGTAGATGAATGTCAGTCTGCCAGGTGTAATTCTCCTCAGACGTTGTTTTAAAGCATGTCTCTCCCATAGTAAACATTTTTTAACCCCCACAGTCGGTATATAGAGATCCACCGGAGAGCGTCTTGTGTCCACCGTCTTTATCGCCTGTCAGGGGTCAAGATCGATTCCATTTCGCACATTCAATTTGGGGAAATAATTAGGAACATCTGTCTCTGGTAGTGAAATGGCATCAGCCTCAACTGCTGAAGAGCTTGTTTGAAATAAGTCTTTCTTCCATTGATTGTGTTTTACATGTGTGCCTGCTTATCTGAACTCACTGGAAGAGACGAGTCGTCCGGTGATTATCAGGCAGGATCCTGAACCAGAGCCTCTTTAATGTTCAGCTCTAATAAAGCTCGCTTCCTGTTTTATGTGCAGTGGTAGCTTTGCTATAAAACCCTGCAATAATGCCTGTGTAGAAATGTCAATGCATGCTGTAGATAATAGCATTTGTGTATGTGTGTTGTGTGTTATCCCATTCCCTGTCTGTCTGTAGATAATGTCACCTCCCATTCCGTCACCCCAACCCTCCTAACATCCAGCTGGGCCTTGGACCCGAAAGGTAACGCACATGCACATATTTTTATTCCGCCTCCACTACACTCCATCTCTCTCCTCGTCCTTTCCTGCTCTCCTTCAGTGTCTCCTACTCCCCAACTCATTTGATGGTTCTCAGGTGGCCTGTGCACACCCTGTTTCTGCTGCAACCTTCCTTTGCCCTGCATCATGAGTGTTCGTGCGTCTGTAGACACTTGGGTATGCATCATGCACAACCGCCCACTCTCCCTCTCTTTCTTATCACTGCCTGTTTGATGCACCCCACACACACATTGCCCAGTCAGCATTTGTGTGTGTGTGTGTGTTGGTGTGTGTGCGTGCACGTGCGTGTGCGCGTGCATGCATGTGTGTGTTTTGGGGTGGGTCCCTTGGTGCTTGGTGGGTACTATTAATGAATCTGTGTTAAGAGTTTAAGGAACTGGCAGCGTATTCAACCTCTAACTGACTGACACCAGCCTCTGGAGGACTGAGAAGATGCTACACAAACATATTTATCTGCACACACACACACACACACACGTAGAAAAAGGGGAAAGGAGAGAAGGAAAGAAAGACAGATAGAAAAACAGACTGAAGGAAAGGTGAACGAGGGGACCAAGGGTCTGGGTGGTTGTCTAATGATGGGAGTGTTACGCAGCGTGCGTCCGTTTGTTTGCGTGTGTGTTTACATGCGTACGTCCATGTGTACTTTTACTTATACCTTTGTGAGGACCATTTTAAGCATAGACTTTACAGAGTGAGGACATTTTTGGTAATTGAAATCCTCATGTTTTCAATGGACTGTTTGAGGGTTAAGACTTGGTTTTAGGGTTAGAATTAGGTTAAGATTAGGTTCAGGCATCTGGTTTGGATGTTTAGGGTAAGCAGCTAGGGAATGTAGTGTGTGCGCGTACATGCATGTAAAACACACTTTGCCCTTTTTTTTATCCATTTATCTCATACACACACTCACACAAACCCAGTGATGGCATCTCTTCTTTCTCTCCACACCTTCAGCTGCTTTTTCTTTGAAGAAGGGATGAAGCAAAGGGAGCGACAGCATCCCTCTTGTTCTTCTGCTACCACCTTTGCTGCCGTCTGTGGCGGGTAGAGCTTGTTCACCTGCTGGGCTTGTGCACAGATGTCATCGAGAGTCATGAAAGCTGCGGCTTGAACTGTTTGGGGAACATTTGGTCGATGGTGATGTGTCATTCGAGGGGCTCCTGAGAGAAACAACACACTTTTTGATAAGGCCAGTCATTTTGTGTGGAGCTTTGGGCGGCAGTGGATTAAGAACAGGGCGGCTTGAGGTAACGGTAGAGCTCTTGAGTTCTTGCTTTTTCATTTCCCTCTGAAATATTGCTTGAGCTTACTGCTTGATCCTATCAGTGTTTCTGCAGATGCACAGGTTTAAACTTTATCACACACAAACACACACACGCCCACAGTCGATCTTGTGGATCAGCAGTGGTGGAGCAAGAACTCAAACATTTTACTTAACTAAAAGAACAAATAAATCATCAAAAATATAGAAGTAAAAGTACCACTTGATGTTTCTAATAAAAGTAGAAAAAGTAAGTCAAATTTAGAGAGTGCTGTTTCAACTTCAGACCTGCCACCCTCCGCAATACAAGTTTGTGTATCATCAAAATGATTTTGAAGCTTTTATCTTAAGGTATAAAAACTAATAGTATTGCTTTGAATAAATTTAAAGTATTTAAAGTTGAGTTCAATAGTGATGCTGCTGCTGCAGGAGGTGTGGTCTATGTTGGCTGTTCACTCTAATTGGATCAATTCCCATTTCATTGATTACTTAAAAAAAAGGTTTTTTAAACAATATGATCATGCAATGCAATACTCAATACGCAATACTTAGAGTAAAAGGAAAATGTAGATCTACTTAATAAAACTACAGATACATGAAAAATGTACCGAAGGAAATATACGTGAGCAGTTTGTCACAGAGTTCAGTCTCATCCTTTCCTTCATCTCCTCCATCGGCCTCTCCTGATCTTATATGTTAGCACTGTATTAATGATGCGTGTTTTAAATCCGCTCTGTCACGCTCCAGGAGCTGCATCAATAACGCTGTGTTCTTGCCTTCTATTGGCCTCACCAGCTCTTACACTACACCCCACCAGCACCATCAAAAAAAGACGCTTTTTATCATCGTCAGCAACTTGGACGGCGTCTCAGTATTTAAGTGCAGACTCAAAGAGTGGCACAGATTATCTTAATTTGCACTTTACTAAACGTTTTTGTCTCTTTCTCTATATCCCTGAACTCAATCGCCTGCTTTGTCAGATAATATTTCCTGGTAAAACTGCACTGTCAGTTGATTAACTGCTTCATCAACTAATCATTTCATCACTAACCTACAGTTTTTTTCTTTTTGCTCTGTTTTATGTTTCTGTATTTTTTCTTTTCTACTTTAAATCAGTCTGCAAAGTTGGTTAAAAAGAAAAGCTGAGGTAGACACAAATAACTTCTACATAACCACTGCTGCAATTTCATATTACAAAAATGTCACAGAATTTAATTTGTCTGTCTTATCTTTGTATTTCTCTGGACTCGTCTTTTGCTAAAGGGTTTGATTTCATTTCCCAGCGCTGTGCTACCTGCCGTGTAAACACGCTGAAAGTTCCCTCATTCAAAATGCATTGTTCTTTTGACAGGTGCTTGGCTGGAGTGGGGGTTTTATAGGCTGATATTCTTATTTCTTTATTCTCTCTCCTCACTTCCACCTTTTTCTCACCCACTATGATTGTCTGGCATTCTGTGCAGTGGGGGGGTGATGAAAGGTGATAATGAAAGTTGGGTGGAAGGTATCGACTTCTCTTCTTGCTCCCATGTCCTCTCTCCCACATTGGTGTTTTTAATGCACTCTCTGTCTCTTACTTTTATTTATTTCATTTTTGATCTTTGACTCCATTTTCTCTCTCTTTATCTCCATAGTTTCCCTTTTGCACCACTCGCTCCAGCCGCACACAAGTTTTAATCGCCTCTCTCTTTCTCGCAGATCCCGGTGCAGTGGTGGAGACTCACAGCGCCGTGCCATACGCAGTGATAGGTGGTGTTCTGGCACTGCTGGTTTTCACTGTCATCTGTGTCCTCATCGTCACCATCTGGTGCTCCGTCCGGCAGAAAGGTAACACACACTCTTACACACACACACACACATTAAGTGACACAAACATTTCTCTCTCAAGCAGGAGGCATATCTTGGCATTTTATCACATTTTTCACAGGCATGCTTTCTCATTTCTGCCATGAAAAAAAAAATCATTGGAGGCCAGTTATTGCCAGATTCTTCGAAGTAATCTTTTAAACTGAGGTGAAAATTGTCAGCTCAAAGCAGATCAGGATGGGATGCTCCTCCCCGGTCGGGCACGGCCCATGATGGACGACCTTGGCCAGGATAGTGGCAGAGATAGGGTGGGGTGGGAAATATAGGAGTGGTCCTATGTTTTATGATTATATGTTAGTGTATCAAGGTTCATCTATTAAAAGCAGCCTTCCTGCATTCCCTATCTTTCTAAGTGCCCTCATTTTGGCAGCCTTTTGACTGTGCAGCACAGCTGCCAAGAAATGATCCTGGATCAGTGTAGCCGGCTGCAAACAGCCATTACTTACCCTATGGCTAGACAGGCCGTCAGTTAACATTCTGCATGGCTTGACCGCCAATCAGCGCAGAGACAGGGCCATTACAACCAATCAGTGTTGAGACAGGGCCATTAGGGCTTTGTCCCGGGCCTGCCGTGACTGTCAGCACGCCAGTCCACCTCTGCGGTAAAGAGAATGAGAGTGTCACTCACCCTCTGGAGTGAAGGGACACTCCGGCAGGAAGATGACTTGCGAGGTTCCCGCCCTCTGTAACCTGCACGGCACTGAATCATTAATCATACGAACATACGGATGTTCCAATGTATTTGATGGGTTTTCTGAGTGCACATGCTGTTGTTCTCTCGCACCTAACCTTCCCTCCACCCTTTTCTGCCAATCTCTCCTCCCTCCCTGTCTGGTGCTCTCTGTTATCTTCTCCACCTCCACTCTCCTCTTCTGTCTCTCCTATTCACACATCCCACCCCACTACCTTTTTTTTAATATCCACTGGTAGGCTCGTACCGTACCCGAGAGCCTATTCTTGCTTGGTATTGACCTAACAATCAGTTAACTAATGAATTAATCATTCACAGGTATGGTACTCAATAATATATATTGTGCTGATTGTTTTGATAATGCTGCATGGCACTGGAGTGATCATGACGCTTTGCCACCTAACCTTCCCCCTCCAATCTCCCTCTTCGTCTCTCTCTCTCTCTCTGTCTCTCTCTGTCTCTCCCTCTCTTTCTTTTTTATCCAGGTTCCTATCTTACCCATGAGGCCAGTGGGTTGGATGAACATGGTGAGGTGCAGGAAGCCTTCCTCAATGGGAATGACGCCAGCCAGGGCAAGAAGGAGTACCTACTGTAGCCCTTCCCCATCCCCTTCTCTTCTGACCTCAGCCCTCCATCCCTCCCCCTCCCCGTCTCCCTCCTTATATACAGTATACACACACACACGTACACTTCTACACAATGCGCCATAACAGGCAGCCTTCTGAAAAACGACTGTATACAGATACCGCACACAGCCAGTCCATCCTGCTCCATTCCACCCCATATCCTCCACACACACTCACACACAAACCCAGAGACAGACTGAGAAAGCGAGAGCCTATAGACCCACCAGCCATTAATGAATGTGCCATATACTGTAAGCAGGAGAAACCGACGGGAAATGGAGAGAGTGAGCGAGCGGGGGGGAGACAGTAGAGAGGGCGAGGTGCATGTAGGCAATAACGAAATTATGCCATAATTATTTTTGATCGAGAGGAAAGCAGGGAGCACAAAGAAAACTGGCATTCCGCCCGTGTGGCCACCAAAGTGGAAGCGGAATTAGAGGCAGATGACTGCTATTATTCCAAGCCTGGAGAAAACCATTTCACAAAGCTCAATCTTTAACCTGCGGAGACAGAGGCAGCCAGTGTGCGAGGAGGGATGAGGGGGAACCAGGGAGAGTTGACCGGGAGCTATTGAGCAGCCGGTGCTAGAAAATTGAAATTTTTTTGAAATTGCAAGAGCATCTTGCCTACAGAGCGTCGCTCATATATAATTCCATAACAACACTGGAGTGTGTAAGCCCAGAGTCCCGAGAAGGATCCATACTTTATGAACAAGCTAACTGTCCTCTTTTGCTTTCCCTGTTGGGTGATCTGCCAATAACTTGTATTTTTCCTCTTGCTGCAGTTGTGAGGAAAATTAATTTACTCCCCCTTCCTCTACACTCACCTGTTACCATCCTCTTCCCTCTGCCTTATATCTCTCTTTCTCTCCGTCCGCCGCTCCCTCAATCGCTCCTCCTTTGTTGGCTCCTAATAATGAAAGGATTAGTGTTGGGCTGTGTTCCCGACAAAGAAGAAAGGAATATGACTTGCTAAGGCATTAAAGAAAAGCTTAATTATTTTAGAATGTCATTAAGAGGATAAAAAGGTTTAAAAGTCTTATTAAGAAGGGCAATGGGAGCAATAGAAAAAGGAATGAATGGGAATAGGAAATGGATGGATGTTTTTTTCCTGAATGCTACCACACATATGCAGATACATGCACACATTCATACGTACAGTAAACACGTCGACAGAACAAGTATACATATCTCTGAATTCCTTATTTGTATAAAAAAATGAACAGTAACATAAATTAAAACATAAAATGAAACTTTTAAGAAATAAGAAAACAGTTTACTATTGAAACTCATTATGAAGCAACTATACTAACACAGAATATTAGCCTATAGAGGTGCAAAGCCGAACAAACTACTGTCAAGTGATCTTTAAAGAAAAAAAAAAGAAAAGAATAAAAAAAGTTTGTCTTTATGAGAAACCAGAGGTCTTATTGATTTTTTATTAATTATTATTATTATTATTTGAACAATTATGATTGTTGTTATTGTTATTATTATTGCTGTTGTTATTATTATAATTGTAAATGTTAAAGTAATGTACACTTCCCATGATTTTTATTTTTGGTTCTACTGTAGAGAAATTGCTGTCTTTTTTCACTATTACCTTTCCTCTCTCTCCCAGTCTTTCTCTCTCTCTTCGTCTCCTGTGCCTAGTCGTCTCTTCTCCTGTCTTTCGCTCTTGTTTATTTTAGAGTCCATGTGTCATTGTTGATATATAGCTAACTATTTCTTTATAGGGGAAAGATACAAAGCACGACAAAATAAAAAAAAAGATTCCAAAAATGATCTTTGGTATCAGCTGTTTTTTTTATTCTTGGGTGTATTTTACTGTATAATTAAAAGATGCCGTTTTTGAAATCGCGTGAAAAGAGAACAGGCCCTATGATTAGATCAATGGGGAATGGTGGAGTTATAGGTGGGGAGATAAAGATGAAGGCGGAGGAGCCGGTTGTAACTGACAGCTCGTTCAGAATAAATAAAATAAACAAAGCAGAAGGTTCTGTGGTGCTGCTAATGAATCATCAGATCAGATAGCGAGGAAGAAATGCAGGCAGGAGGGTTGAGTCAGATGCACACAGAAAAATATGGTGCTGCCATTAACTTCCATGCAATCAATACCCGATTCTGTCGAGAAGCACTCAACATGTCCATCTGTGCACAGGGCTAGATTTGAAAGCCGCCGGAGGTCACAGTGTGATAGATCGATGTGTTTCTCTTCCATCGATGGCAAGGCTCCACCGTCGCCTGTCATAAAGACAGATTGTCAAACGGCAATCAAAGTAATGGACTTGCCAGGTGCTACCAGCATGAGTTGACACTGTGGCCGGCAAACAATTCACGCACAAGTCAACACGAGACATATCTTCAGTTTATGGTGACGCAAACGTGGCACAGGTTGTCCCCGCTATCAGATCCTCTGTGGTCGATGGGTAATAAAACTGGGAATATTGTCCCTTTATATGTCTTCAAAACAGAAGTGTGTGTCCTTAAAAAGGTTTGTTTTCCTGTGGGAGTCACAGCACTCAGGCTGCTTGTGTTGGTTGAAGTTATTTCTGTTTCTCCTCAAAGGAAAAAAAACCCTCAGCACCAAAGTAAACTTTAGTTCAAGAGTTGTTTTGTTTGTTTACCATAGAAAAAGATTTTGATCATTTTGAAATTCACTGTGTTTACTGCTGGTTGGTTAATGATCCTGTAACCGCTTACACTGGTGCATCCTGGGAAACTGGCCATTATCCGACCATAACAATGATACAGTTCAGCTGCTGGACCTGATGACAATCAGACCACCACTGCGATCATAGAGGGTGATTATCAAATCAATGGACATGAGCAAAAATGAGACAGGGACAAGCCATACAACAGTCAGCTGTATTCCTCCCAAACTTTACGACGTGCAGTGAATGCACCATAATCCGACCAATAATGAGAAGAAGAAGTCTATGAATAACTTACGCTCTTCTCCCTGGTTCTAGTTTCACAGATTAACGTCCTGGAACGGGTTCACATCAGAGAGTTCCCCATTTACGACTCATTTATGACAATCGTATTTCATTTCTACGAGTTGCAGTAAATATCACAGTGCATCCAAACACAAACTCTATATTTCTGGTGGCTACATGGGGCATTATACACAGTTTTGTCCATTTTTTTTTTGTCGACCATAGTGACCCTAGAGGATGGTGGTTTGCACAGAGCGGCAGTGTAGCATGAGGCATTGATTGAGGTGGCTGAGTGTGCAGAGGCCTAGCGTAATCAGGAAGCTTTCAGGCAGACAGAATAATTCAATGGGCTGTCACACTATAGGGAAGCTGAGGAAATTTTTCACCCTTTCACCAGATTCATGTTTCAGTTATGTTTCCTACTCAGGGATTTTTTTGTAGTGACAGAAGACACACTGTGCTCATATGCTGGGCTACATAAGGAGGAAAGACAGGGAAAGACATGACATGAAGATCTGAAAAAAGAACTGGGAAAGAGCTCTGCAAGCAATAATTCTAAGCTCTGAGCAGAGGGGAGGGAAACGGAGCAAAACAGTCTACGATCAATGGAAACAAAAGAAGACAGACAAAAACTTGTTGACTGTCATAGCCATGTTCCACGCAGAAATAGATAGATTACTCCTTTTTTCTCCATCAGTGATTTCTAACACCAACGGTTCAAGATGAACAATCCAATTAGTGTGAGCAAGGCCCTTTTATTACAAGAGAGCTTCACATTGTATTCACACGTTTAATCAAAACAGCCATGAAGATTGTGTCATAACCAGGTTAATTATGTTTTCCGTACAATGCAGTGTCCTCCCCGGACCACCATGTTATTACTGAATGTTTAATTAAACGCTGTCACTTACATATCTACATTACTGGTGGTTGGCTTAGCAGAGTCTTAAAATAGGCTTAGAATGAGTCCCACAGGAAGAGCAGTCAAAGAAAACAGACATCTGTGATCAGGATAGCAGTCGTCATCTGGAGACTTAATTTTCTCACTGACATTTGGTGTGGGACCTGATAATTAACTGGCCTTTTCATTTGCGAGTTATGCATAATGTTTTTGCATGAGCTTGCTGATTAGTTCAAAAGCCAACAACAAACACGAATATGCTATATGTATTCTTCCTCAGTTCACAAGTCATTTCATCTGAACACTTAAGCAACCAAATCACCAAGGACACATTGCGATAGGGAGATTAAATCGCTGCTCTTAACCTCCCACATCTTCCACTGTGCCAAGATCTCAGACATCTGGGCACACTTTGGCTTTCAGGGAGTCTTTGGCTGAAAACCACGGCGCCGCCTGCATTGCTTCGCACAGGGCCATTCGGACAGATTTGCGTCTGGACTGAGCCACTACAGGTGGAAGGCTGGGAACAGAAAGAGGGAAAGTTGCTCGTTCCTCCACGAGTTGTTTCCTTGGAGGAGTAAAGAGGATCTGGGGCACAAGGTTATACAGCTGGAAGAGGAAGAGGGCAACTGCATGAGCCCAGGCAGGAAGATTGATGCTGGGGGTGAAAAGCAAGAGAGCATGGATAATGTGGATAGGCAGGCACAGTAGAACTAAAAGGGAGAGAGACAGAGCCAGGGAGCGGACCTGGCGGGAGTCATGCTTCGGAGGGTCTGCATGACTAAAAGGGGTCTTCCTGGGCTTCATACATAGCAGATCAAGGTAAATGACCAGCAGGCACAGCAAGGGCAGCGTAAACACTGTCATCCCATGAACATAGACCAGGAATTGCGGACTGAGAATAGTGTCAGGAGCACACACTCCCCAGTGGCTGCTGTGAATCTCAGCATAGGTGAAGTTTCGCATGTCCTCCACATAAAACTTGGACAGGAAGCCCCCGTATGGAAGGTACTTCCCAATGATCTTGCGTTCGTGGTCGTACTTAGGGGGTGGGGAAGTGGTAAGATGGGGTAAAGAGGTCGTCCAGTTGCCATCCAGCTCAAGGCCAGTTGTGTCCGGACCAGTGACGCCCCTTCTCCAGGTGTCGAGGATGTTTGAGCCGATGAACTGTGCGAAGGAAGACAGAACAGAGCCCACCCAGCACAGCAGAACCACACACAAAGCTCGCCGACGGGTCACCACCTTGGAGTACCTGTCACCCAAAGACATGAGGATGTGGACATGATTGAAACAAATGATATTAATGAAAATAATTAACATGTTTGTACTATACCTGGACCCTCATCTCACACTAATGAAAATATAGAATGGCTAAACCATAGACTGTATTTACAGATGGACAACATGACAGCTCCCCAATAGTGAAGCCAAAGTGTTTTGATCGCCACCCGATGGCTGGCTGCAGTATAGGTCATACAGCCTGCCTCCTCCATGTTAATGGATGGGACATAGACCAAACTAAAAAGTCAAAGACTGACTTGGCATTCATATCCGCTATATTTTGGCTTCATTTCAGGACAGTGAAAGGAAATATGCGTCATCCATTTTTACTTTTTTTAAGTCTAAGTCTAAATGTTTGGAAAAGATCTGCTCTGAAACCTGTACAATCTTCTAGACGTAAGCATTAACTGACTGCAGGTAACTGTTTTTGAAAACATTTCTGAAGGAAATACGGACAAATACAATCTTTCTAACATTGGCAGGCTAACTGATTGTTACATAGCAACAGAAGACCATCATATAGTGCTGCTAATAGATGCACTGTATGTGTGTGAATGGGTGAATGGCAAACTGTACTGTAAAGTGCTTCGAGTGGTCATCAAGACTAGAAAAGCGCTATATAAATGCAAAGATAGATAGATACAGACTCAACATAGAAAATGCAGTATAGGTCAATCAAACTTCTAAGAGCTTCAAGACCAATCGTTATGAGCACTGAACAATCTGTTTGAATGGATCATACAATGGACACATCTTAACATGTTCACTGTTTTTTTTTCCTTTTACCCTGATATAGATTGTTTTCATCATTGCTAGAAGCACACTTGAGTGTTGGTTGACTCTTGCCACCTACATATTCACACTCTTTCACGCATACAAGAAAGTATTACAGTACTGGAAGTAATTTTAAACTGCAGCATGAGTGATGCTTTATCACATTTCTGAGAAAAGATCTTACCTATGCACCCATCTTAAGTGACTACGTGATGGGTTTTATTTGTCCAAGGTTAAAGGGATAGTTCACCAAAAAATGAAAATTCACTAATAATCTACTAATTATCTGCAGTATGGAGGCTTGTCGTGCTTTTATCTGTTGTTTTATTGCATCTGAAGAAGCACACACTGTTTACCCTTAAATTTCCTAAAGTGGACTCAAACACTTCACTCACCCCTCGGTCGGCATAGTGGTGAGTAGAAAATGGGTCAATTTAAATTTTTCGGTGAACTATCCCTTTTATGTCTGAAATGAACT